CAGACTGTTGAAGACCCAGTCCCCAACTAGGCTGACGAAACAGCCTTCTGGCAGTACTCCCGATGGCTGGTTTTCCGATGCTTCTCTAACTTATGTCAGCTTATGATGAAATCTTGTAACCAATCAATCAAATCCCTACAAACCAATACTTGATAAGTAAATGTATTTCTTCACCCCACTCCAGTCCTTTTGTCTTCTTGAGTTACCTGACTAAACACATCCAAGTGTTAGTCCTTGTAGCTCAGGCCAAGTATCACACTGCAGGTATGAATGCTGCAGTAACGTTCAACGCATACTAGTCATCGGATAACGGAAATTACTGTTGTTACAGCGCCAATGTGAACGCCATTCACGAATTAAGGTGTAAATTCCACCACAATCACGTTTTTAAGTACACCTTGGACAATGTGTTAATAGATTGTTAGGGTTAAGGTAGTAGGTATTACGTTTAGGGCTTGGATCTGGGTTATAATTAGGATAAGGGGTAGTAGTAGTATTACGGTTATGGTTACGACTAGAGTTAGCTTTGCGACTGGTAATATTTTAATTTTAATTAGTTTTATTATCCACATTTTCTTAATAAATAGTCGTCGATCATAATGTGGCGAGTGATACTCATAAGATTTATCAGCAGTAGAGAAGGAGACGTTCATCCGCCATCATAACAACATCAAACGGCAGGAAGATACATTTGATTTCATAGAGAACAAATGATACAGCATTGTAGGGAGATACATGGGAGACGTGAAAGGAACATACAAACAAGCACAGTATGAAGGAAGACGAGAAGCACCACAACACGAAGATCTGTACAAACGGGGCACTGAAGATAAGCCTATATAGAGATACCAGTTGCCTAAGGAACAATACTTTACCAAGTCTCCGTCTTCTACCGACTGTAAACCAGAGTAACAACGATAAACGGGTCACGAATAAAGCTCATCTTCAGTCATCTCATCTCATCCAGCCAGCAGTTGTACAACATTCCTGCATGCCAAGTAATCCACAACGGGAAACTCCTTCAAAGTTAAACGGGAGTAAGACAAGGCTGGATCCAATGATTTTCCTGATTGAGGTTGACTGGATAGTGCGACAGACAGCATGCATCGAGGAGACAAGAGTGAAATACACCCCTACAAAATCTTCGAGGATGTGGACTTCACCGATGATGATATATGTCTGATTTCCCACAAAGTGGGAGATATACAAATGAGAAGCAACAAGTTGGTACAGGAAGCATCCATAGAAGATAGGACTTCAGGTGAACGTAGAGGAAACACATGTGTGCGTCGGTAGCACAGTGCGGTTATGACTCTCGCCGACCATGCACATGGTCCGAGGTTCGATCCCCTGCCGACACACACATGATAACTATGGTCAACCTGCAAAATTTCGGCTACCAATATCCATGCTGAAAATTCCATACTAGTACCAAAAATATAGTGCGGAATCAAGCTGTAAACACAAAAAATAATAAAAAAGATGATGAAGATGCCTGGACAACAGACACAGCTAAAGCAGACCACAATCAGCATACATGGAGGGAATCTGAAAGAAGTAACCCCCTCTACCAAACTACCCAAGAAGCATCACTTCAACAACAGGCCAACGGAAGTGATGACGGTATTGAAGTTAGGATCAGATGAGGCACTTGCCTGAGTGAGATTTGACTTAAATTATTCCTCTTGATAACAGCAGTAGCATTCATCAGCATTTAGTACTATCACCACTACTTTCTGGCAGTTGGGATCACCTCTAGTGACAATCATCCGACCATGATAAACCAGAGTAAACTCAAATAGATCTCCTTCAGTGCTACTTTGTCAAGTAAGGCGGCTGGAAAACTACAAGACTGAAAACACTTTACATATTGGCAGCACAATACCATGGCTAAGTCAGAGTTTCCCTTAAACCGAAATTTAATGAAAACTCTCGTCTTTTGTTTCAGGCTGGTGACCAGCTAATCTGGGTAATATTAAAAGGAGAGATTAGAACTTTGTATTGAAGATCAAAAAAATAATCCTGTTAGGAAGATTCCTCCTGACAACCCAATAGATTATTTGTCATACACGACACTATAATCTGAATGAAATGGAACCTGAAAGATAGTGCGTGTGTGTGTGATTGGTCTGAAACAACTATCCCCCGATGTTGTCCAATCGTCATCAGACACCGTCATCAGACAGTCATATCAATGTAACCCCTCAATCAACATCCTTCTCCACATTCAAAATCACACAGATCTCGAGTTCTAGTCAATAAACTATTTTAGTTTTACACTGAACATGTTTTTTCACATTTCAATTCAAACAGTTCATTCATGATGGCCACTAGTGTCTATACAATTTTACTCCTATTCTGAAATAAAACAGCACACAGTAGCATACTATACAGATGTATCATTGGTTCCCGCTTGATAAATCAGGTCTTTAGAAGAGAGAAGTTATCCCTCCGAACGACATATTGGATTATTGCTAAGTCGAAACACATCAGGGGGTCAGTACTATTTTCATGTCTAGAGTATTACCAGTCGTGGCTGTCTCCATGAATATCCATGCACTCCGACTAGTGTTTGAATAATGATGGAGGCAGTCATGAAGACTTGCCTCTTAGTTAATTAGACAATATCAGTGCACGCACGAGTGCACGACTACCAAGTATGCAGAGGCGGCATACTAACCGATTCATTGTTCTCATAACTGACTTTTTACAAATATATATACAAGCAAAAATATACAGATGAGTTCTACACCTTGAAGTGTGAATCACGACGGAGTATCCGAAACCCTGAAGATGTTTAGAAATTTCCGAAATTTGAATAAGCTTCAATTAAGACTAAGATGAAAACTAATTCAAATTCGGTACGTTGCCTTAATAACTTGAATAATACAATATGAAACACCACTTGAAAGTAAGCAATGAGGAGTCATCATTTGTTTCCCACCCATACTGCAAGGTATGTAGGGCTGTCTGCGTTCTTCGCATGCATTAAGTGTTATCGGTAGCCAATGTGGACCATTTGCCTCATATCATAATCAGTAATAAACACATGGAAACTCCAGTTGAAATGTTAAAGAAACTTGGCACTGGTATAGACATCAAAGTCTTTGACATTCTTCTACTGGAACAGTTTCAATCATCAGTATACCAACGATTAAATGATGTCTATGTTTACATGTTGAAAACGCTCCACCAGTTATAAAAGAACGGATGGAGACAAATTTATGTGTTTACTGTGCTTACAGCGAAGTGCGTTTTCTTCTTATAACCATGATTATTCGTGAAATCGATTGTCAGCCAGCAATGTGTGTTATCACTTTGAAAAGCACGCAAAGTATGCAAAATCAATTCTCCTAGACATATGAAATGTTTCTACCTGCTGTTCAGATGACCGAAATCCTAAATATCTTCAGTCAAGACTGATTGGTTTCAGCACAGAACTAGTTTGCACAGATGTGCAGCAGTTCAAGTAGCCATACTCAATGTAGCACACAGAGAAAGAGAAGAAAGTAAAAAGAAATGCAAAATAGAGACAGCGAACAGAGATATGAGACAAAAATAATAGTAATGTCGAAGAACAATATAGTTTTATTGGATATTATAAGTCAAAGGGAGTGAACGCATCTGTATCAGTGAGGACGATTTCGAGCCATATCACCACTTGTCTCCAGCCATTGGTGTTTACCGTCCCGAAGACCCCAACCAGCCAGTCAGGAAGTCTACACCTCCCTACATGGCTGGCTGGCTGGCTTAAACTAACTGTTGTGGATTTCATTGACTGGTGACGAAGCCATGTTTTGTTTTGACCACCACCACTGGCTCTTTTCCAACATCATACGTCTCATGTCAGCTAATATTGCCCGTCAGTCGAGGAAGGTGATGGCTATGCATGCGTTACACACGTCCTAACCATACCAATCGATGTAACTGCTTCACAGCCTCGTCGACTGATTTCCCTTCCTTACCTAACACTCGACACCTAACCTCAATATTGCTCACTGTATTATACCACTTCATACGGGAGATAGAACGCAGGCACCTATGATCAGAGACAACAAGTCTTTTCCTGTCCTCCACTCTCAATGGCCGGGTCTCACAGTCACAAAGGAGGGTGGAGCGAACTGCTGAGCAGTACACATGCCCTTTGGTCGACAGTCAGCCGGATATTACGTTCGGTTAAGACAGATGTATGTATTTAAAAACTTAAATCATAGTGATGTAAGTGACAATAAACACGCTCCCCTAAAAACTTTATTATAAGCAATTAACCAGACACTAGATGTCTTACTAAAATTTCAAAACATTCACCTCCGATCCTTCGTCAGAAACAAACAGTTTGTCCAAAATCTTGAGCATTCGGGTTAGGTAAAGGTGGTGAGCCAGTGTGAAAATATCGGTTACTGGTGGAACTTCTCTAGCAGCCAAGGGCATCAATATACAAAGATAGCAATCAATAAAAGCACTCAAAAATGCACCAACTCATTCATGAAGAGCCAAAAAACAACAATCATGACCACTAGAGCACTTAAGCATAGGCATCTGTAGTATGAAATATTCTTGTTGAATGGATTTCTAATGTCGAGAAATATGTCCATTAAAAAAGAGGGTCTAGATTTAACCAGCAAGAATATTGATGCACATTTCATCAACTAATTCCATACGTCCATACAACAAGACATCAGATGTGCCCCTGGTATCACAGAAAAATGTTCAGTAATAAAAACCGCCTAGTACATTTAAAAATTATTCGACATATCACTTGTAAAATGAATAGGATTAACAACCTTACTGTGATACCTTCTCACCTCAGGCGAACGCAGAAATAATCTAAATAAATATGTATTCAACTGGATCTACATATGACGATACCACATTCTGCGAATACAGTCAAGTACATTTTATGAAATTCGCAATAAACACTCACAAACTAAGCTATCCAGGTATAAAAACAAGTGAAAAACAACCAAGTAGCGAAATACTCCGCTATACAGCCGACTAACCGATTCACGAGGAATTTCACCTAGAGTGAGTAGACTCATAGCAAACTCCAGCTGGTTGGAAGCATCTTCTTTCGAATTCGACTTTCCTGTAGCCCAGCTGTTGTCACTTTCCCAGTATGATCCATTGTAGTCTATAGTGGAGTTAAAACGTGATGAAACCCTTTTGCCACCACAATCAACAGGTCTTTTCCTTAGATATTCCATCATTTTCTTCATTTTACATCGTCTGCTCTCCAATACGTTTTTTCGTAAATTCTCTTCACGTGCTTCGTACTTCTGGACTTTGACAACATTGTCTCTACAGCAACTTAATCCAAAAAATATTTCAAGCACACTTGCCTAAGGCGCCTATTTGTTTCGTATGAATGTTTTTGTAACTGACTCAATGGTCGTTTACTTTTCGTCTGATTCATAAAACTTAAAATGGCACCCTTCTTATAATATACAATACAATTCTTTGTATTTTCAGGCCCAATATGTTAGTGTTGAAATATTCAAAAGCTGAACCTAGCTAACCTTTGACGTAATAGGCATGTCTTTACAACGTTCGAAAAAAAAGCACGCGAAAATATCGGTGTGAACTTCGCATGTGGATAAATAAAACAAACACAAGGTCACGTAACCTCAGGTGTATATTTTTGATCCTGGACAGTAGTCTTCGAGCTTATATGAATGTTCTTGCGCTGTTAACCTGCACTTCTATATTTCCTTGCACAACGAAATCATTCAGGACTCAGACACCACTCTGTTTGGATACGGTATGGTGAGAAAACCAGTACTTCGAAGGCCCTTAAACTCCCCTGCTTCGTCCTTTAAGATGTGTGGATCATGTGAAAGGGAAAACAGAAGGTGGATTAGATATTCCATATTAGTTTGCTTATTAGATATATTACACAGTGAAACAGTATTATTTACTGTCCCAGATATATGGAAAATTCTACTACCCCTACGACAAATAGGAGAAGACAAAGAAAACTATAAAACTCAAATTTCAAAGTCGTGTGATCACAACTGATATGATCATGAACAATAAATTTTGTTCGAAACGTCATCCAGTAAATAATACTGTTTCACTGTGTGATACATCTAATAAACAAACTAATATGAAATTGCTTACTACCACAGTGCCCAAGTTTTACACATTTATTAACGTGGATTAGATATGTTCTCCTTGCTTGTATTGTGAACACTGCATGGGAGTTAATTGAAGAGAGGAGGTTTGAGATGTTGAAGATGAGTTAATGCAAAAATGGACAACAGGATGATAAGCTAAGTTCAATGTACACCTGACTGAATAAAGAAATAAGGAAGATTGCTAGGGAAGGCAAGTGACAATCACACGACACACTGAAAACTGAAGCAAAACGGCACGCAAGTTAAAAGGACCTCAGAACATTATATCGGATAACCATTTCTCTATCCAGATAAAGATCAGAGCAGGTGAATCCTATAAGAGATGGTCAAGGGAACCTAATTACCGAGGAAGTGAGTCCGCTAAAACAGTGGTCTAGTCCCGTCAAGGACTCTTGAGTCGACCATCACCTACAACTCTTCCAGGGCCAACAATAACAGCCACAAAACAACCAATGGACATCAATCCCCGAGCAAAAGCAGAAGCCTTGAATTCGATCCACTTACTGAAGCTCAGCAAGGCATCAGGATCAGATAAAATCCCTGCTGAATACTAAAAGCGGAACCAGGGACAGCATGAGATATTCTGACGCCAATTTTGCGAAATGATTGGAGGGAAGGAATGGCGCCTGTTGATTGGGAGGAAGGGTACAGCTTTGGGCTACCTTAGAAGGGTGACTCAGAATTCCGCAAAAACTAAAGTGGAATAATTCTCTGGTCCACGTCACTCTGGAGAGAATACAAGATGCAATGAATGCTGAACTCCGCCAGCCGGCCTCAACAAGTTGGCTGCATTCAGGAAAGGCATATCATGTGCTGGTCAAATTGCAAGTCTACGCATCATCATCACAGAACAAAACATAGAATAACAGGCAAATCTGTCTGCCTGTTATTACCAGCGGGGATATTCTTGATCATGGTTGACTGGATTATGCATCAGACTGTGCGTTGTGAGTGAGTGGGTGAGAAGACTATAGAAGGTGTGGGTATCGCGTGTGGATGAATTATGTCGCTGAATGTCACTCAAACCAAAGCTCGAAGACTTGCAGGTAGGCAGGCAGGCGAAAACTGGTGGAAGAGGCTGACCAACTGGCTGGCAGTGAAGACCGGTGGATGATAGAGAAAGTGGAGATGGAGGTGATGAAGGTAATCAACCAACCAACAGTAACAGCAACAAGTCAGCACCAATCACTATTAATGAGAGCAGCTTGACAGAGGTCACCTCCTACTTTCACTTATCTGGCTAGGATGCACAGTTTCAACCACAAGCAGTCTCAACGGATGAAGATATCAAAGCCGGCCAGTCAGTCAGCCAGATTCGGAAATACAAGCAAGATACACCTTCACCAACCTGAATTCTCCTGAATATATAGTGGAGGAAATAGAGACTGGTTGGGCTCACTCTGAGGACACCGTGGAATGACGTCGCAGGCATGGCCACCGCCCGGCTGGAACCCAGGTGGGAAACGTGTGTCCGAGTCTGATACGGACAAGATCGTTTGTGGAGGAGGAGGAGAGAGATTATGGACAATTATGGATCCGTCTGAATAAGAGAGTTGAAAATTAGAACAAAGTGGAGACATGTTTTTGAAGTCCCATGTTACACTCGGAATGCAAGGGAATAATAACAAAATGAGACTTAAAGACGTTACTAGGACATTTACTAACTCGAATGGGATAATTTCAAATTCACACAGGCCTGGCTGCACAGCAAACTCTGTTTTTCTGTTGTCTGGGTGTAATTCCATTTGATTATATCCAGAAGCTGAATCTAAGGTAGTAAATCAATTTGATCCCCTACGACATTAAAATTATGGTCTTAGTTCGGCAGTACCGACTGACTGACTCATCCAGTTGACGGTAATCTACACAACTGGGATATTCCATTCGATTGTTTTATTATAACCACTGTCAATGTAGTTGAAGATTGAACGATCAACTCATGGTTGTTTGCTCAAAACCAACTTCCCCAATTTTCGCGGAGGCATCAATACGACAGTCATCGTCTCATCGGTCACTGTTCAGAAAGAAGAGTAAAACACCATCAGAAGTAATATTGTGATTTATAATTGTAATATTTGTTCACAGACCTTAGTGGAATCATATTTTATATGTCGGCGTTGCAATAAAGAATTCTCGAGTAGCCAATCGGTGTTCTGGTTTTGCGTCCGTTATTGCTAAGCGTTTCTGAGAAACTTCAAGGAACAGCGTGAGTCCCAGCGTAGCAAGAGATGGGCATTGACGGTTTACGAGACGTGACTGACAGTTTCTGACAGTGAAGTGTTCCTTCCCATCATTAGGCTCAATCTTGCAAAATTTGTTCACCATGGTGAGGTTACTACGTTCAGGTGAAAGTTTTTAAGGACAACTTGCATCAGTACTGGCTATTTTAGTGTCTTTCAATGAAGCTCTGCTCACAGAGACACTAGTATCTAAATCAGTCCCCTGTTCCATTGGCAAGCATGTTTGTTGTGCAGTTCACTGAATGCTACTGTCAGTACTAGGTGACTTTTACTGTACACGATCCACTTTATGTAAATTTAAGCCGGAGGAAGTGACAAAATTGTTCCTACGCATTACTCTGCGTTGGCACTGCGTTTTGTTCTGAGCTATGGTTACAGACTTAAAATTGCTATTTAGTTTTAAAGGATCTCGGAATTTAGTAAACTTACCAGTATCAAGAGAATCGCCAAATGGTGGGACAGTTAGACTGGGCAGACTTTTTACGAAGTCGTTTGCATTCACTTGGCACACTATACATACCGCAAAAATTCTGGATTTTGTTTCTTGTAGATATCAGAGGCATTGAGTCGGGGATATTGTAAACTGTAGCCCGATAGGAAGAGGCTATACGCTGGATAATTTCGTAGACGTCCTTGAAAAACCCAGGGAGAACAAAACAGATCCCACACCGTAACGATATTTGTAACGTTCTGCCATGCAGAAAAAAATGAACTCCAAGAATTCACACATTATCTGAGACAGCTGGATGAATCAGTCAATGAACTCCTACAAGAAAAAGTCACCAAACAGTCGGTATCTCCATGGGCTAACACAGTGGTTGTCAGCCACGATTCGTAAACGTCAATGCCCATCTCTTGCTACGCTGGGACTCACGCTGTTCCTTGAAGTTTCTCAGAAACGCTTAGCAATAACGGACGCAAAACCAGAACACCGATTGGCTACTCGAGAATTCTTTATTGTAACACCGACATATATCCAACTTTAAAATTAAGCTTTAACTAAGGTCTATGGACAAATATTACAATAATAAATCACAATATTACTTCTGACAGTCTTGGTCTGACTTCTTTCTGAACAGTGACCGATGAGACGATGACTGTCGTATTGATGCCTCCGCGAAAATTGGGGAAGTTGGTTTTGAGCAAACAACCATGAGTTGATCGTTCAATCTTCAACTACATTGACACTCCCCGGCAAAAATGATCTATTCCATTTTTTCCATCACGACCAATACATGTTGACTTGGATGCCATTGCGAGAACCTGGGTCACACGGACAGAGCTGAAATGGAAAGTAAACGGAAAAGCCAACACACCACAAGCATACCCACAGCACAATCTCACACATCAATGACGACCTGCGTCTTCCAGTTAAAGCTATCCTCTTGACATCTTGCAACACAATCGCCACTCGCTATAATGACTCTTGCAGAATGCAACGTGACCAGAGGACCACCTCATGATACTCTTCACACATCCTCGTATCTACTTACTACCAATTACCACTGCAATCGCTTTTCCCTCATTCTGCCTCAATTCTAGTAACGGTTACGTATGCGAGCCTCAGTCGTTTACACTCTCACTCCCCGGCGTGTGGGACCACAGCTAACAATTATCTCCGTATGGATTTCATTCTCAACAATAGCCTCCCCGGCGTATACGACCCATCTGCTGTCTCTAACATCAATCAATTCATTCACGGATGTAGAAGAGTGGACACAACTTCGAAAGTAATCACGACGAAAATTTTAACAATTTATGCAACAGCAACAAGGTACGAAAACAACAAGTAAAAACAACGGATCCAAAAACACCAATTGATAGGACACACCACACGTATATACAAACAGTAAAAACAAACTCGCAGATCGTGTCTCGATGGAATTCCTTTGAAGAATTGCAGGACTTACACCAGTACGCCTACAAACCTTCTCAGGTTGACGATTGCCATTTCTGGAACGTCCGGACACAAACAAGATTAACCAACAATTACATCAACTGGAACTCACACAATTATTTAATACAAACATATGTACAATCAACACATCAAATGTTTTGGATTCTGGCATGACAAACTACACCTGAAGAACTGTAGGACTTACAGCAGTACGCCTATATTCCTTCTCAGGTTGATGATACAAGTGGAAGTCGTCCAAACACAAACAGAATTACCAACAGCTATATGAAAGATGATACCAATTCAGTATATGCAACATGAACATATGTACAAAATCACACACCAAGCACGTTGGGCTGCTTATTGATGCGCCACCCTTTGAAGAATTGTAGGTCTTACAGCAGTACGCCTACAACCCTTCTCAGGTTGACGCCCTAGGTTGGAAAATCGTCGCAGAGTTCAGTTGCTAACTTCCTTCTATGAGCTAAATCCTCAAATCTGAACGGTAACACGCTCATGTCATTGTATCGTAGAATATAGATGACCAACAAACACACGACATATCTCATCAACCAAGTGTAGAAACAGAGTAATTTACACCAAAGTTAATAACATTCAATTAGTAACTTGAAACTAGAAATGCCTTTATTCATGCAAGTCAATTTAACTATTACTCTCTCGTTTACACTTGGCTTATTCTCACTAGACTGAGCAATATCTTTCGTCTTTTCGAACGCACCAATACTATCATAGTCATTGCATAAGGCACGTGAGTTCATGGATGTCCATTTCATTGTGGATGAAAACGCCAACGAAGACTGAGTGACACAAGGTGATGAACGTAGCAGTGGATCAGAAGCTGTTCTTTTTCGGCTTTCAGATAGTTGTCCAACTGCAAGATTACCACCACTGCCATCTTTCACTACTAGTTCGGGTTTAGCACTATCATCTGATGATAGGTGGGCTACATGCTGATCAATTACACCGACTGTCTCACAAGTATCCATACCTTCTGCAACTGCATCTGCATTCAATCCTACTTCACGTTGTCGTTGTACAGAACCTTTATTCAACTTAGCAGTAGTAGGCATTCCCCTTATTTCATCATGATCAACCAAAGACAAATCTGCACTATCATGATCATCATCGCAAATTTTCAATTTACCGTCAAGTTCATCATTTTCAAACTCTTTAATAACAGCAGTAGATGATTTGGGTTCTTCCTCACAAATCCCTAAAGATTTCATACCTTCACTCTGACTAGTAATACCTTGTAAACTTGTGGAGTCAGAACTGCACTCTGAAGCAGTAACTCTATTCTGTGACACTCTATTCAACAATGGCTTACCAGTTGTAACTACAGACTTCTTGACCGCACTGATATCGTCACACAATTCGGAGTCAGACCTGGAGTTTACATTTAGCTTATCACTGAACTTGCTCACTGGTTCACAGTTCACTTCTGTATGCACTTCTTGCAAACGTGTGAAACACAACCGTGTTTGTCTTGCATCTTGCAACTTATCTGTTGAGGATGTACTACGAAACCTGTTGCACCCATTAAGATTATATGCATTACTGGACATCATGGAGCCTTCTCGATATCCACCTCTCTGAGGCTCTTTCGTCATCAATGATTGCGTTTTGCTCTCAGACCGCTCTATTCTAGGGGTGAGATGCAATAGACTGGCGAACTTGCTCATAGATAGATTGACGCTATCTTTTACCAGTTTCAGGATATCATCAAACCTTGGCTCCATACCCTCATCCTCCATAGGGGAGCTTATCTTCACCCACTTCCTTTGCAATCGAGTAGGTAGGCGTCTTGCTATTACTTCTAGGATAAGACCCGAGTTGAGGTCACTCATGCAATTTATCGAAATCAAGGTATTCTTATAAGTCATAAGATTATCCAAAAACTCAGTAAGTGCCTTGGAGTCATCTTGTAGTTGACTGCCGTTACCTTTGACAGCTTCGTATACGTTCCTTACAATCATTGAAGGTCTTCCAAACCTTTGACGTAATATGCTCATAGCCTCATCGTAGCCCTATTTCGGCTTCATAAACTTACAACACTGTATAGCTCTTGCCGCATCTCCAGTGCAATATCTCATCAAATACATTAACTTCAATTCATCACTTAATAGAAAACTACTCAACATGATCTCAAACTCCTTTACAAATTGTAAATAATCAGCTGGGTTTCCATCGAAACACCGTGGTTCTAATTTAGGGAGTTTGATGTTCCTACTATCCTTGAACGGCGAAACAGTAACATCAACCATGTCATGCTTAACATCAGACACATCGTTACAATTAACAGACAAGTCACCATGACTTACTTTCCTGTTTGCATCCAAGACACTCTGTCCCTTCTTTGACCCAGGCATTGTTGAACCTGAACCAATTCCAAAACAGTTCCAGATATTACTTGTTCAAAGAGGACTTGACCGGTACCAGGAAAGATGAATGGTGACTATACAAACTGTCACCAGCTATCTGAATCCGTCAGAAAATGTTTCCGCCGTCAAATCGAATGGAATATCCCAGTTGTGTAGATTACCGTCAACTGGATGAGTCAGTCAGTCGGTACTGCCGAACTAAGACCATAATTTTAATGTCGTAGGGGATCAAATTGATTTACTACCTTAGATTCAGCTTCTGGATATAATCAAATGGAATTACACCCAGACAACAGAAAAACAGAGTTTGCTGTGCAGCCAGGCCTGTGTGAATTTGAAATTATCCCATTCGAGTTAGTAAATGTCCTAGTAACGTCTTTAAGTCTCATTTTGTTATTATTCCCTTGCATTCCGAGTGTAACATGGGACTTCAAAAACATGTCTCCACTTTGTTCTAATTTTCAACTCTCTTATTCAGACGGATCCATAATTGTCCATAATCTCTCTCCTCCTCCTCCACAAACGATCTTGTCCGTATCAGACTCGGACACACGTTTCCCACCTGGGTTCCAGCCGGGCGGTGGCCATGCCTGCGACGTCATTCCACGGTGTCCTCAGAGTGAGCCCAACCAGTCTCTATTTCCTCCACTATATATTCAGGAGAATTCAGGTTGGTGAAGGTGTATCTTGCTTGTATTTCCGAATCTGGCTGACTGACTGGCCGGCTTTGATATCTTCATCCGTTGAGACTGCTTGTGGTTGAAACTGTGCATCCTAGACAGATAAGTGAAAGTAGGAGGTGACCTCTGTCAAGCTGCTCTCATTAATAGTGATTGGTGCTGACTTGTTGCTGTTACTGTTGGTTGGTTGATTACCTTCATCACCTCCATCTCCACTTTCTCTATCATCCACCGGTCTTCACTGCCAGCCAGTTGGTCAGCCTCTTCCACCAGTTTTCGCCTGCCTGCCTACCTGCAAGTCTTCGAGCTTTGGTTTGAGTGACATTCAGCGACATAATTCATCCACACGCGATACCCACACCTTCTATAGTCTTCTCACCCACTCACTCACAACGCACAGTCTGATGCATAATCCAGTCAACCATGATCAAGAATATCCCCGCTGGTAATAACAGGCAGACAGATTTGCCTGTTATTCTATGTTTTGTTCTGTGATGATGATGCGTAGACTTGCAATTTGACCAGCACATGATATGCCTTTCCTGAATGCAGCCAACTTGTTGAGGCCGGCTGGCGGAGTTCAGCATTCATTGCATCTTGTATTCTCTCCAGAGTGACGTGGACCAGAGAATTATTCCACTTTAGTTTTTGCGGAATTCTGAGTCACCCTTCTAAGGTAGCCCAAAGCTGTACCCTTCCTCCCAATCAACAGGCGCCATTCCTTCCCTCCAATCATTTCGCAAAATTGGCGTCAGAATATCTCATGCTGTCCCTGGTTCCGCTTTTAGTATTCAGCAGGGATTTTATCTGATCCTGATGCCTTGCTGAGCTTCAGTAAGTGGATCGAATTCAAGGCTTCTGCTTTTGCTCGGGGATTGATGTCCATTGGTTGTTTTGTGGCTGTTATTGTTGGCCCTGGAAGAGTTGTAGGTGATGGTCGACTCAAGAGTCCTTGACGGGACTAGACCACTGTTTTAGCGGACTCACTTCCTCGGTAATTAGGTTCCCTTGACCATCTCTTATAGGATTCACCTGCTCTGATCTTTATCTGGATAGAGAAATGGTTATCCGATATAATGTTCTGAGGTCCTTTTAACTTGCGTGCCGTTTTGCTTCAGTTTTCAGTGTGTCGTGTGATTGTCACTTGCCTTCCCTAGCAATCTTCCTTATTTCTTTATTCAGTCAGGTGTACATTGAACTTAGCTTATCATCCTGTTGTCCATTTTTGCATTAACTCATCTTCAACATCTCAAACCTCCTCTCTTCAATTAACTCCCATGCAGTGTTCACAATACAAGCAAGGAGAACATATCTAATCCACGTTAATAAATGTGTAAAACTTGGGCACTGTGGTAGTAAGCAATTTCATATTAGTTTGTTTATTAGATGTATCACACAGTGAAACAGTATTATTTACTGGATGACGTTTCGAACAAAATTTATTGTTCATGATCATATCAGTTGTGATCACACGACTTTGAAATTTGAGTTTTATAGTTTTCTTTGTCTTCTCCTATTTGTCGTAGGGGTAGTAGAATTTTCCATATATCTGGGACAGTAAATAATACTGTTTCACTGTGTAATATATCTAATAAGCAAACTAATATGGAATATCTAATCCACCTTCTGTTTTCCCTTTCACATGATCCACACATCTTAAAGGACGAAGCAGGGGAGTTTAAGGGCCTTCGAAGTACTGGTTTTCTCACCATACCGTATCCAAACAGAGTGGTGTCTGAGTCCTGAATGATTTCGTTGTGCAAGGAAATATAGAAGTGCAGGTTAACAGCGCAAGAACATTCATATAAGCTCGAAGACTACTGTCCAGGATCAAAAATATACACCTGAGGTTACGTGACCTTGTGTTTGTTTTATTTATCCACATGCGAAGTTCACACCGATATTTTCGCGTGCTTTTTTTTCGAACGTTGTAAAGACATGCCTATTACGTCAAAGGTTAGCTAGGTTCAGCTTTTGAATATTTCAACACTAACATATTGGGCCTGAAAATACAAAGAATTGTATTGTATATTATAAGAAGGGTGCCATTTTAAGTTTTATGAATCAGACGAAAAGTAAACGACCATTGAGTCAGTTACAAAAACATTCATACGAAACAAATAGGCGCCTTAGGCAAGTGTGCTTGAAATATTTTTTGGATTAAGTTGCTGTAGAGACAATGTTGTCAAAGTCCAGAAGTACGAAGCACGTGAAGAGAATTTACGAAAAAACGTATTGGAGAGCAGACGATGTAAAATGAAGAAAATGATGGAATATCTAAGGAAAAGACCTGTTGATTGTGGTGGCAAAAGGGTTTCATCACGTTTTAACTCCACTATAGACTACAATGGATCATACTGGGAAAGTGACAACAGCTGGGCTACAGGAAAGTCGAATTCGAAAGAAGATGCTTCCAACCAGCTGGAGTTTGCTATGAGTCTACTCACTCTAGGTGAAATTCCTCGTGAATCGGTTAGTCGGCTGTATAGCGGAGTATTTCGCTACTTGGTTGTTTTTCACTTGTTTTTATACCTGGATAGCTTAGTTTGTGAGTGTTTATTGCGAATTTCATAAAATGTACTTGACTGTATTCGCAGAATGTGGTATCGTCATATGTAGATCCAGTTGAATACATATTTATTTAGATTATTTCTGCGTTCGCCTGAGGTGAGAAGGTATCACAGTAAGGTTGTTAATCCTATTCATTTTACAAGTGATATGTCGAATAATTTTTAAATGTACTAGGCGGTTTTTATTACTGAACATTTTTCTGTGATACCAGGGGCACATCTGATGTCTTGTTGTATGGACGTATGGAATTAGTTGATGAAATGTGCATCAATATTCTTGCTGGTTAAATCTAGACCCTCTTTTTTAATGGACATATTTCTCGACATTAGAAATCCATTCAACAAGAATATTTCATACTACAGATGCCTATGCTTAAGTGCTCTAGTGGTCATGATTGTTGTTTTTTGGCTCTTCATGAATGAGTTGGTGCATTTTTGAGTGCTTTTATTGATTGCTATCTTTGTATATTGATGCCCTTGGCTGCTAGAGAAGTTCCACCAGTAACCGATATTTTCACACTGGCTCACCACCTTTACCTAACCCGAATGCTCAAGATTTTGGACAAACTGTTTGTTTCTGACGAAGGATCGGAGGTGAATGTTTTGAAATTTTAGTAAGACATCTAGTGTCTGGTTAATTGCTTATAATAAAGTTTTTAGGGGAGCGTGTTTATTGTCACTTACATCACTATGATTTAAGTTTTTAAATACATACATCTGTCTTAACCGAACGTAATATCCGGCTGACTGTCGACCAAAGGGCATGTGTACTGCTCAGCAGTTCGCTCCACCCTCCTTTGTGACTGTGAGACCCGGCCATTGAGAGTGGAGGACAGGAAAAGACTTGTTGTCTCTGATCATAGGTGCCTGCGTTCTATCTCCCGTATGAAGTGGTATAATACAGTGAGCAATATTGAGGTTAGGTGTCGAGTGTTAGGTAAGGAAGGGAAATCAGTCGACGAGGCTGTGAAGCAGTTACATCGATTGGTATGGTTAGGACGTGTGTAACGCATGCATAGCCATCACCTTCCTCGACTGACGGGCAATATTAGCTGACATGAGACGTATGATGTTGGAAAAGAGCCAGTGGTGGTGGTCAAAACAAAACATGGCTTCGTCACCAGTCAATGAAATCCACAACAGTTAGTTTAAGCCAGCCAGCCAGCCATGTAGGGAGGTGTAGACTTCCTGACTGGCTGGTTGGGGTCTTCGGGACGGTAAACACCAATGGCTGGAGACAAGTGGTGATATGGCTCGAAATCGTCCTCACTGATACAGATGCGTTCACTCCCTTTGACTTATAATATCCAATAAAACTATATTGTTCTTCGACATTACTATTATTTTTGTCTCATATCTCTGTTCGCTGTCTCTATTTTGCATTTCTTTTTACTTTCTTCTCTTTCTCTGTGTGCTACATTGAGTATGGCTACTTGAACTGCTGCACATCTGTGCAAACTAGTTCTGTGCTGAAACCAATCAGTCTTGACTGAAGATATTTAGGATTTCGGTCATCTGAACAGCAGGTAGAAACATTTCATATGTCTAGGAGAATTGATTTTGCATACTTTGCGTGCTTTTCAAAGTGATAACACACATTGCTGGCTGACAATCGATTTCACGAATAATCATGGTTATAAGAAGAAAACGCACTTCGCTGTAAGCACAGTAAACACATAAATTTGTCTCCATCCGTTCTTTTATAACTGGTGGAGCGTTTTCAACATGTAAACATAGACATCATTTAATCGTTGGTATACTGATGATTGAAACTGTTCCAGTAGAAGAATGTCAAAGACTTTGATGTCTATACCAGTGCCAAGTTTCTTTAACATTTCAACTGGAGTTTCCATGTGTTTATTACTGATTATGATATGAGGCAAATGGTCCACATTGGCTACCGATAACACTTAATGCATGCGAAGAACGCAGACAGCCCTACATACCTTGCAGTATGGGTGGGAAACAAATGATGACTCCTCATTGCTTACTTTCAAGTGGTGTTTCATATTGTATTATTCAAGTTATTAAGGCAACGTACCGAATTTGAATTAGTTTTCATCTTAGTCTTAATTGAAGCTTATTCAAATTTCGGAAATTTCTAAACATCTTCAGGGTTTCGGATACTCCGTCGTGATTCACACTTCAAGGTGTAGAACTCATCTGTATATTTTTGCTTGTATATATATTTGTAAAAAGTCAGTTATGAGAACAATGAATCGGTTAGTATGCCGCCTCTGCATACTTGGTAGTCGTGCACTCGTGCGTGCACTGATATTGTCTAATTAACTAAGAGGCAAGTCTTCATGACTGCCTCCATCATTATTCAAACACTAGTCGGAGTGCATGGATATTCATGGAGACAGCCACGACTGGTAATACTCTAGACATGAAAATAGTACTGACCCCCTGATGTGTTTCGACTTAGCAATAATCCAATATGTCGTTCGGAGGGATAACTTCTCTCTTCTAAAGACCTGATTTATCAAGCGGGAACCAATGATACATCTGTATAGTATGCTACTGTGTGCTGTTTTATTTCAGAATAGGAGTAAAATTGTATAGACACTAGTGGCCATCATGAATGAACTGTTTGAATTGAAATGTGAAAAAACATGTTCAGTGTAAAACTAAAATAGTTTATTGACTAGAACTCGAGATCTGTGTGATTTTGAATGTGGAGAAGGATGTTGATTGAGGGGTTACATTGATATGACTGTCTGATGACGGTGTCTGATGACGATTGGACAACATCGGGGGATAGTTGTTTCAGACCAATCACACACACACGCACTATCTTTCAGGTTCCATTTCATTCAGATTATAGTGTCGTGTATGACAAATAATCTATTGGGTTGTCAGGAGGAATCTTCCTAACAGGATTATTTTTTTGATCTTCAATACAAAGTTCTAATCTCTCCTTTTAATATTACCCAGATTAGCTGGTCACCAGCCTGAAACAAAAGACGAGAGTTTTCATTAAATTTCGGTTTAAGGGAAACTCTGACTTAGCCATGGTATTGTGCTGCCAATATGTAAAGTGTTTTCAGTCTTGTAGTTTTCCAGCCGCCTTACTTGACAAAGTAGCACTGAAGGAGATCTATTTGAGTTTACTCTGGTTTATCATGGTCGGATGATTGTCACTAGAGGTGATCCCAACTGCCAGAAAGTAGTGGTGATAGTACTAAATGCTGATGAATGCTACTGCTGTTATCAAGAGGAATAATTTAAGTCAAATCTCACTCAGGCAAGTGCCTCATCTGATCCTAACTTCAATACCGTCATCACTTCCGTTGGCCTGTTGTTGAAGTGATGCTTCTTGGGTAGTTTGGTAGAGGGGGTTACTTCTTTCAGATTCCCTCCATGTATGCTGATTGTGGTCTGCTTTAGCTGTGTCTGTTGTCCAGGCATCTTCATCATCTTTTTTATTATTTTTTGTGTTTACAGCTTGATTCCGCACTATATTTTTGGTACTAGTATGGAATTTTCAGCATGGATATTGGTAGCCGAAATTTTGCAGGTTGACCATAGTTATCATGTGTGTGTCGGCAGGGGATCGAACCTCGGACCATGTGCATGGTCGGTGAGAGTCATAACCGCACTGTGCTACCGACGCACACATGTGTTTCCTCTACGTTCACCTGAAGTCCTATCTTCTATGGATGCTTCCTGTACCAACTTGTTGCTTCTCATTTGTATATCTCCCACTTTGTGGGAAATCAGACATATATCATCATCGGTGAAGTCCACATCCTCGAAGATTTTGTAGGGGTGTATTTCACTCTTGTCTCCTCGATGCATGCTGTCTGTCGCACTATCCAGTCAACCTCAATCAGGAAAATCATTGGATCCAGCCTTGTCTTACTCCCGTTTAACTTTGAAGGAGTTTCCCGTTGTGGATTACTTGGCATGCAGGAATGTTGTACAACTGCTGGCTGGATGAGATGAGATGACTGAAGATGAGCTTTATTCGTGACCCGTTTATCGTTGTTACTCTGGTTTACAGTCGGTAGAAGACGGAGACTTGGTAAAGTATTGTTCCTTAGGCAACTGGTATCTCTATATAGGCTTATCTTCAGTGCCCCGTTTGTACAGATCTTCGTGTTGTGGTGCTTCTCGTCTTCCTTCATACTGTGCTTGTTTGTATGTTCCTTTCACGTCTCCCATGTATCTCCCTACAATGCTGTATCATTTGTTCTCTATGAAATCAAATGTATCTTCCTGCCGTTTGATGTTGTTATGATGGCGGATGAACGTCTCCTTCTCTACTGCTGATAAATCTTATGAGTATCACTCGCCACATTATGATCGACGACTATTTATTAAGAAAATGTGGATAATAAAACTAATTAAAATTAAAATATTACCAGTCGCAAAGCTAACTCTAGTCGTAACCATAACCGTAATACTACTACTACCCCTTATCCTAATTATAACCCAGATCCAAGCCCTAAACGTAATACCTACTACCTTAACCCTAACAATCTATTAACACATTGTCCAAGGTGTACTTAAAAACGTGATTGTGGTGGAATTTACACCTTAATTCGTGAATGGCGTTCACATTGGCGCTGTAACAACAGTAATTTCCGTTATCCGATGACTAGTATGCGTTGAACGTTACTGCAGCATTCATACCTGCAGTGTGATACTTGGCCTGAGCTACAAGGACTAACACTTGGATGTGTTTAGTCAGGTAACTCAAGAAGACAAAAGGACTGGAGTGGGGTGAAGAAATACATTTACTTATCAAGTATTGGTTTGTAGGGATTTGATTGATTGGTTACAAGATTTCATCATAAGCTGACATAAGTTAGAGAAGCATCGGAAAACCAGCCATCGGGAGTACTGCCAGAAGGCTGTTTCGTCAGCCTAGTTGGGGACTGGGTCTTCAACAGTCTGCACCCACTCACCTCACCAACACGGTTCAAACCCAGAACCTTCTGGTTACAAGGCGAGCGGGTGAGCTCGTAGACAATCTGGCAGCCACTCACTGAAACCCGATCCAATGACCAGCCGATGAATTCTAACTTCTAACATTTCTCTCACGACATAGTGCGACCACTAGCCAGTGTCTTCATCGAGTGTTTGTCCTCACGCCTGACCTGCAACACTCTACTGATCATGATTTCCCATTATAGAACCTATTACTTTTCAATTAGTTCCTTGTTTCACTCTGGCTCTACTCTATTAAATACATCACAGAATTACTTTTTAAAAATGGTTATCCAGTTCAGTTCATTGATGAAAATGTGAATCTAACACCGAGAAAAGTCCATAATGACAACACCTTCAAAGAAGCCGCTGTGTTCGTGAAACTTCAGTTTCTGAGAGATAACATTAGGGAAATGGTAAGATAACAAGTGCCTGAAGAAGAATGCAGTTGAAAGAGCTTTCTACATTCAAGAAGTAAGGACAAAGTACCTAATTTTGCCACCTCCTGCTCCTCCCCTATGTGTATCTACTCGTTTGACTACAGCTACACGGAGTCAGCTACATTGGGCGTACAACTAGGCAGGTTCATCATTGTGTCTCCGAACCGAACATCATCCTGAATAATGTTTGGGATATATATACCATCTCTTTGTAGCAGCTCTATAGTTTAGCACATCATATAGAATTTGTAGGATTCCAACTGATCTCAGTTTTACGTGACTAAGCCATCAGAATCCACCTGCGAAGAAGCCACACAACACCTAGTGTGTTTTCAGTAGGAATTCGTACAGCTACTCTCCTTATTTGAATAAAACAAGAACACCAGTGGCTTTTGCAGAAGAAGAAGAAGATTTTACCATCATTGTTTATTTTGTTGGCTTGTCATCGCCTCAGCTCAGCTGGTTACAGGCCAGAGACATTATTGAGTAAATCCACAGAAACAATTTTAATATACTTACACAAAGAGTTCATTTACAAAAAAAAATCAATCGATCACACTTTATCCCAAGCAAGAATAATGATCATACACAATGGAAACTTCCAACATTACGTAATTAGATGAAAGACAGACTGAAAATATCCAGTTACCAGGATGGGTAAGGAAAGACTGATAAGTGAGTATTTCTGAACGCATAATTAAATGAGATTTCAGGCGCTTGGTGGAGATTGCTCCGGAAAACTTTAGGGGGGTAATTGAACTCTTTCGCCTATTGATTGATTTTGAACGATCTTACAACGTCCACCTGATGACGCGTGTTGAGGAGATACCTGGCGATGACATTTGTTTTCAGACATAGGAGACATAGGCTTTTTAGTAAGTGTTCAGAAAATCCCTACTTTGGTCATCGTTACATGAATATAAAAACCTGACAGTATTAGTCTTCTCCCCCTTAGCCTTTTACGAGTCATCATAGTGTGAATTATTTGTTATGATTCTGACTACTTCATCTTTAATTACTTATCATGTATTAATTATTATTATTATTATTATTATAGCTCTCTTGGGTTCCGAGTTGGCCATATGGCCATATTGCTTCAACGACACATCGCCACTTCGTTTCTATTTTCTGGCCTCCTTTTTATCTGGTTAGCCAGCTCCATGATTGTCCATAATCTGTCATCTCCTCCTCCTCCTCCTCCTCGTCATACGATCTCCTTCTCCATAACAACCTCACACTGACGATCAGCCCTCTGCATTGCTCTGCATTCAGATTACACCCGAACGATGGCCTGCATTGCAAGTGTGATGTCATTCAACGGTCTCCTTCGTAAATGTGTATGTCTGATCAATCAATCCATCTTCATTTTCTCTTACATGTCCACTTGTTGAGCAATCGCCTTCTGGTTGGTTTGTTCCACTGCCGGGTTTTTTTTGCTACGAATTCTTTCTGGATTACTATTTGATCTTCAGCATGGAACCAGTGAAGGCAGCTAGCTGTTGGTGAAAGTCTGCAGTAGCCTGTTGGAATATCCTTTTCTTGACGCAGTACACGCAGTAAAAATTTCTGACCCCGTATAAAAGCACTGACTGACTTGACATTGGTGTTGAATAGAATTCGAATCTTGTTGTTTATGCTGAGTTGGTTGATGAAGGCGTATTGTGCTTGTCTTTCTGATTGGAGGACCTGGACTTCGCCGATAATGACATATGTTTGATTTCCCACAGACTGGAAGATATGCAAGTGAAAAGCAACAAGTTGGGAGAAAAAGCATCAGAGATAGGACTTCAAGTGAACATAGATAAAACAGAGGTGATGAAGATTCCTGGCCAACACCAACAGACAACAATCAGCCAGTATGAATGGGAGGAACCTGAAAGAAAAAACCTCCTTTACCTACCTGGGAAGTATCGTTTCAACTACAGGCCCACGGAACTGACGAGGATATCAAAGCCAGAATCGGAAAAGCAAGACAGGCTTTCATGACTCTTAAGTCTGTATGGAAGTCAACAGTACTCACCATCGAAAATAAGGTCCGGATTTTCAAATCTAATGTAAAATCGGAGACATGGCGAGTCATTAGGAGCATCTCAAACAAACTTCAAACCTTCATCAACAGTTGTCTTCGCTCAATACCGCTCAAGATCAGATGGCTAGCCAGAAAAGATCAGCAACAAAGATCTCTGGCAATGAGCGAACTGACCGGGAACCGATTACGAAACAAATAGGCAGGAAGAAATGGAGATGGATTGGCTGGCCATACTCTGAGGAAACTATCAAGTGACATCACTAGACAAGCCATTGCTCGAGTGGAACCCGAAAGGGAAGCAGTGAGTTGGTTGTCAATGCAAGGGTGACTTGGAGGAGGTGATGTGAAGCGGAGGAGATGAAAGCATGTGGGCAGACTTGGAGCGGAGTGAAAAAGTTGGCAGAAAACAGAAGGCAATGGGGGTGCGCAGCTGAAGCCCTATGTTCCTCTAGGAATTAAAGGATATAATAATAATAACTCCGATTCCGCCTGTCGTTTGACATCTTCATCCGTGCCATTCGCCTGTAGTTGAAACTATTCTGGCTACCTAGATATAAGTGAGGGAGGTAACCTCTGTTAAATTCCTTTTTACGTTGATGGTAATTGGTGCTGGTTGTTGTTTCAGCTGCTATCTTCACCGCCTGCTTCTTCAAGCAATTTTTTGCCTGTTTTCGCCTGTAAGTCTTTGAGTTTATGTGGCATTGGGATAAATATCATCTGTGAAATCCAGATCTTCTAAGCGTATACTCACCTTTTATTCCTTAATTACTCCCTATTTTCTCCCAAAAAGATGCATTTTATGCAATCCACTTGTTGTGTAATCATTTCCACCCTTTTTAATTGTTTGTTTTTACTAATTTTTATAGGTTAATTATCACACGGCCTCTAAACCCCATGACAAGAAACGATGGAGGTGGATTGGATTGTGGCCATACTATAATAAACAAACACTATCAAGTGACTAGTGACATCACACGCCAGCCTATCTGTCCCTATTTGTCGAGTTGAACCTGAGTGGAAAGCGGCGAGTTAGTTGGTCGCCGTCAGTGCGAGGGCGACATGGAGGCAGGCGAGGAGGGGGAGGAGGAGGCGATGCAAAGAGGAGTTGGAAGCATCTTGTCAGAAGTGGAGCCAGACGAGGTGAAAACGTTGACGGAGGACCTCGAACGCAATGGAGGCGTGCGACTGAAACCGTATGTTGTTCCTCTAGGAACTAAAGGAAACAGTAATAATAATAATAATAACTTAAACCAGAAAAATTCAACTTTTTAACATTCATGATGGGTTAATTTCATAGTATTTTCTCTCTGCTACCATCTAAACATTTACTTTGCGTCATTTTTTTATAACCACTGTGATCTGAAATGGTTTCCAACAGTTGATAATAATAATAATAATCTACTTTATTCCAAGACGAGCAGTACTTCTAACACAGAATGCAATTCTCAGCATTTCTCACAACATCTTGCATCTGATTTACTTAAAATATAAATAAAATTAAAAATTAAAACAAAAGTAACCAGAGGAATTTGTCCACGTTCACGATATAAAGTCAAAAATATTCGAAGCACGAATTGAGATCATTAAATATTAATAATAATAAGAACGTTGAGTTTGTTTCAAACAGTATTGTCGATTCAGTTTGAAAATTTTAGCATGTTACTATAGAATATTGAATCTAATGTTCTGTTGATGTAGTATAGTGAGGGGAGATACAAGATTAACAGTGGTAACACAACTTAAACGATGTTTACACTTATGGAAAATAAATAAATAAAAACAAAAAATTGAGAGGATTATAAATATAAGAAATACAATAACAATAAAGTTTGGTACTTTGAGGGTGGAAGAAATGGTTTATTTAGTAGTGCAAAGAAGGTTAGTTAGTTAGTTCATGCCTGACATTATTTTCATCCCATAAAGTATGTGCCAAATATGGTATAGTGAAGTTTTTATACTTGAACCTACGCGCATAAATTCTTCTGAAAAGACTTCGTGTTTTACCTGAGGAGACATAAGGTTGGAGCTGCGGGTAGATTGGGTGCTCAGAGTCTGACAAAATTCCTTTAGCAAATTTGTTACATGACATCAAGTGTCTATCCGTGACAGTGTCCATGATATGGCTCAATGGGATACCACTCATCCTATTGACAGTCTTCAGAGTTCTACGAAGTATGACATGGTCTTTTTTAAGCAATCCAGGAAAGAATAAGGGTGAACAGTGAAGAAGAAGAAGAATAGGTAAAATACACGAGTTGACAAACTGTAAGAGGAGTGGTTGGGTTATGCCTGAGTGTCTTACCTTCTTAATGTAAGAAGTCAGACGAAATAGTCTTTTTTAAATAGCTAAGATATGGGAAGACCAAAATAGGTAGGAAGGAAGAATTAATCCAGAATGCTTAACTTCAGACTTGATTTCTATGTCAGTATCATCAATTTTGCAAGGGTCATCGAAACCAACAGCTTCATTTAACTTTCGTTTACATTGGAAACTGAAATTAACAGTCTAACATTTGGAAGGATTTAGTTTAAGGCCATTAGATGAAGATCATTTGCTAATTCCTGATAGAAAGCTGCTCATCTTAACACAGTCAAGCTGGGAGTTAACAGACGTTGAAATAGTTAGATCATCGGCATACTTAACAAAGTTCATTTCATCAGAGTGAGGCAAATCATGCAAGAAGAAAGAAAATAGAAAAGGAGAAAGAATAACGCCTTGAGGGACATCAGCCTCAGTAAGCAAAGAAGTGGACGACTTTCCCTGACTTACACTGTACTGCTTTCTTCCCGAGAAATAAGAATGCAGTCACTTGACAACCCAACAGTCAGTTTTAGTTTCAGCAAGCTTGTTTAACAAAATGTCCCTGGGTACTTGGTCGAAAGCAGATGTGTAATTTAGGAAGGTGCAGCGAACAAATTTAGCTCTCTTGTCTAAGCTGGAGACAATGTTATGATGCTATACTGAAACTGCATCTAAAGTACTTCTAGTGTGTTTATAAGCCAATTGTTTAGGATTGTTAAAGGCTTTCAGTGAAGGTTGAAGATTAAGTAAGAGTAACTTTTCCATAGCTTTTCGAAAAGGAGACGTAATAGCAATAGGTCTAAATTTAAAACATGTTCCAGTAGACGACTTAAGGATAGGTACAATTTTAATGTCCTTCCAAACGGCTGGCATGACATTCCTGGAAAAAGATTCGTTAAATATGTCCATGAGAGGATAACACAGGATATCTGCACACATTTTTTAAGAATAACACTAGGCAAACCGTCTGGTCCCAGGTTACAAGAAGGGTTCAGAGACTGGAGACATTTTTGAACATCATTTGTATTGAAACCAGGGAAACAGGTTTCATTAACATTTGTAACACTAGTAAGTTTGGTATTTGTGGGAGAATATATGAAGGACTCATTTAGTGTGCAAACATCAAAGGAATAAGGAATACTATTCATCTGCTTATCACCAGTAATTTCTTTGAAAAGTTTCTATGTATTAGATGCATTTTTACGGGATGTGAACTTTTGGTTGTAAATTGAATTCAACCTGTGTACTTCAGGTTTTACTGAGATGTCAATTCTTTTCAAACCGGTATTGTCCTTCATTTTATATAGCTTTTCTTTTTGTCTGCGGAGCTTTAAGTTGAGGGTAGGAGAAACGGTCAAATCTGATGAAGAGCATTTCTCTGGGGCAACAGGTGTCAAGATAAAATTTGAGATAACTTGTAATATTAGAGATTGTATCATCAAGAGGGTCTTCATTAAACAGGTCCCACCTTGTGTCTTTGAGCGCGCCCCTAAGATTCTGAGCATTCTGCATAGAGTAACATCCATTTGCAGTTTTCTTGGAAAGGTGTGAAAAAGTTCTCTTGTGTAACTATCCATAAATGTTAGGTAAAACCCGTACAATACAATGATCTGAGTTGAAGAGTGGGGCTCTTTTACGAGCTTCGTATATTCCTCAGTCATTTATATATACAAGATCCAGTCTGGTGGGAAAGTTTACGACATTTTCATGATCTAGCACCGTGAGTAAACTGTAGTCCCATGAATTAAAATCGCCTGTCACTATGGACAATGAGTTTCCAAAAGAGGCGGCAGCGAAAATAGTGAATTCATCAGCAAACATAGACAGTTCTGAAGTGCTACAACAAGGTGTGACATAAATGTTTGTGATATAAATGGATTTGTATTTAGATAGGTCAACATTTGACAGTTATACAGTCAATATTATCCTTTGAGAATTTAAAACAGACATTGTTGGCAACAGACCACTGGGAATTGATAAAAGTAGCAACACCACCGCCACACTTCTTTCTTAAACTTCTTCGATCTTGTCTGTACATATATTGAAACCATTCAGTAAGATTAAATTGTCATCATATGAATCGTGCAACCAAGTTTCTTGTGGCGTTATTACACTCGTATTACGACAAATATTTGAACATAATAGAGAATCCAAGTAATTAATCTTGTTCGATAATGACCTGAGATTTGTGCTCATCATCACAGGAAGAGTCATCTCATGCATTGGAGTATACTTTAGGGATCTTTGCCACCCACAATGATGCTTTTTCTCAGGGTTATTATATACTGGTAAATCCTCAGGTTGGAAACATTTTAAATAATCGCGAGAGTAAGTAATACGATTTGGACACAAATAATTAAAACAAAATAAATCCAAGTAATCAGCAGATGCAATATAAGTGACCGAAAATCTTTTGGTAGCCAAAGGTATAAGCAGGCGATGAGATCGAATAGAATGCGTTGGTATCATTTTATACACAAAAACTTCTCTTCTTTCTTTCTCTACTGAAATTCTAAAAATGCTTCTTTGAAAAGAAAACGTGTTTACTGATATAAATTATACAAGACAGAATTGCCTTCCTGGATGTCCTACTTACCAGAAATCCAGATAGTAGCATAAAAAGAAATTTGGCGTAGAAAAAGCACTTGGACAGGATAATAACAAACATTTTCACACCTTCGTTCTTATCAAGTATAAAAGAAATTTAGTGAAGACCCTCAGCCACAGAGTTAGAGCTATATGCTCAGAAGAAGTAATTGAAGATGAATTAATTAAGCATTGTATATGATACTTTGATCGAAAATGGCTATCCCGAAAAATTTATCAAGAAACATGTGACAAAGAAAGAGGAAAAGGATCACTCACTATCTGTAAAAAAGAAGCCTGTTTATATACGACTACAATTCATGGGCGATATACCAAGCGGGAAAATTGCGAAGAAATTAAGAAAATCAGTTCAAAGAACTTTTAATGCTGGCGGCGAACTACACGTCTTATTCTCTACACGACCGATGGTGATTCCTCGACTGAAAAATGAAGTACCTAGACTAGCTGGCCACTTCTAATTGTATCTATCAATTCAACTGCGCTTGTGGAGCCAGTTATATTGGCCGTTGCTCTAGGAACTTGATTTTTCGTGCTCACTCGAGAACATCTCCTAGCATGGCTAACTAAGTAAAGGTGTAGTGAAAACTATTAACAGCTCGATATTGGAACATCTAATGCAAACAGGACACAAAGCCAGCCAGCGTAGATGAATCCTTCTCCATATTATACCGGGCGCCAAATAAATTACCAAAAATATTGAAGCACCGCAGGCTCCAAACAGCAGAGGCTATTGCGATTCGCCTCAAACAACCAGCACTCTGTGTCCAAAAGAAGCAAGTCCAGCTAGCCCCTACTATTGCCCTGGCCAGCCTTCAGTAGAAGCTATAAACTCATGAATTTATACTATTATCTTTCTTAATGTTTCTGACATTCAGCTTATTCTGTGTTGATGCGATTCAGGTGTAGTCTATCAATATTATTGATTTGATGTTATCTAAACAGCGTTAATGTCGTTCATAACATTAACTCGTTCATTCACTATAATGGATGGATATATAACTGTAGAGCTTGATGATGAAGGGGTTATCGAAAAGAGTACTCTTTGTTCAGTATCCA